AATTATATTTTTATTTTACCAAAAAAATTTATAAAATATATTTAACAAAAAAATTAAAAAAATAGATTATCTAATTAAATTATTTAATAATCAAATAGTTTGATTGATTTAAAAATAAAATTACAAATTAAACTAATTATATTAATTTTAAGGTTAAATCCTCAATTTGGTCCCTAAACTATTGTATGAACCCCCAATTTGATCCCAAAACTAAAAAAATTCATATTTGATCCCTAAACTATTGTATGGATCCCCAATTTAGTCATATTGTTTACCAATTTACCCTAAGTTAGCCTTTTCATACAAAAACCAAGTGACATGTCTTGTTATTAATGTGATACGTAACCGTTAAGTTATTGTTTTTTCTCGTTAAGTTACTACTTTTCGTCATTAAATAACGGACACGTTAGTTGTTTTTTGTGCAAAAGGACCAATTTGGGGCAAACTGATAAACAGTGAGAACCAAATTGGGGGTCTGTACAATAATTTAGGGACTAAATCAGGGATTTTTTAATTTAGGAACCAAATCAAGGTCTACACAATAGTTCAAGGACCAAATCGAGATCCATACAATAGTTTAAGGACCAAATTGAGGGTTTAACTTAATTTTAAAATTTTTTTAATTTAAACAAACCCAAATTAATGTTGGTTTAGATTGAATTTTAATTAAATTAAATCAATTTCAATGGGATCAATAAATTTATATTGAATATAAACAATTCCAATCCTTTTTTTTCTTTTTTTGAAAATAGGTAATGGGAACAATTCCAATCTTGAGTCTTGAGTCTTGACATGTTCAATGGTTTTTAGTAAACAACTCTGACATTTTCTCTTTGACGAGCAAAATGTTTCGAATAATTAACTCATACAATCCAATACATATTTTGTTTAGCCAACGACGAAGAGATTATTATAATTTTAATTAGGTGATTTAACAGTTAAAAACTTAAGATTTTAAATTAAAAATTTTAAATTTAACTTTTAAATTAATAAAAAAATTAAAAAAAAAATTTATTTACTCTTATATAATTTATAATGAAAAAAAAAAAAATCGAACGAAATAAAGAGAGGGAGAGGAGATCACTACAGCTGGTGGCACGTAAGACTGATGTGACTATTCCTTACCTTCTCAACCAAAACTTTTGTCTACATCTTGCCAAAATATGAGATAGCCTTAACTTTTGTTTGGCGAAAGGAGACTTTTTTGTCTGATTTAATTGTTTAAATTTGCTATGTACCTAAATTGTTTCTTTTTTATTTAGGCTTTAAAATATTTTATGCGCTTTTAGACATCTAGATTTGATTTTTGTCCATAGTTACCCGTCAAATTTGGTATGGTATGTTTTACTAATTAAATAAAAGATGGTCCAAATTAGTTTTTTTTAATTTAAATTTTACATTATTGTTAATAAAAATGACATTTTGATTATTTGGTTTAATTAAAATTAAATGTTAAATAGAAAAATATAAGCACCAAATATTACGAGAAATGAAGTTTTTTCCATAATGATAATAAATAAAATGGAACAACTGTGTTTAGGGTTGTAATCTTATGGTATTTTTTCACACAATACTTTATATTAAGCATATAGAGCCGCCCATCCCTTCTTTCGCCTTATTCTTTTTCCCTTTTTCTTGCTTTCTTCTTCCCTTAGTCACCGCTGTCCCTTTTCCCCTCGACAATTAGGGTAAATGACTAAAAAAAAAACTTTCCCTAGGGTTCTTTCCTTCTCTTTTTTTAAGGATTTTTACTTTAATTTTTTCGATACTTTTTATCATGATTTGCTCTTATTGGAGGATAACAACTTGAACACAATATTCATTGAAGTTAAATTAATTGTTGTGCTTATTTCTAAGCAATTGAAGGCATAGTTAGGGACTAGATCCCTCACTAAATTTTTTTACCTCAACTAATTTATTTTCTATCTAAATGGGATATGCTGAAATGCAATTTAATTGCTAAATCTCATGCTAAGGTCTAATTGTGATATAAATGTAAATATTAAATTTTTTAATTTTACATTTTCACATATTTTATAAGTGTCATACTTCTAATATATTACCCATTTGGGTTAATCTTATAACCCTTATGATTTTCATACATTAATAAAATTTTATTTCTCATAAAGAAGTATAACTTATTATGATAATATTGTAATGACAATAACATATAAAAGGTTAAAACCCCTTTTTGGTCCCTGAACTATTGTACGGACCCCCGATTTGATCCCTGAACTAAAAAAATCCCTGATTTGATCCCTACTGTTTACCATTTTTACCCCGATTTGGTCCTTCCGTTAAAAATCGTCCGTTAACTCACATATATATCAACAATTTAAGCCACGTCAGTTGTACACGTGGATAAATGATGAAATGGTCATACCCAACGCAAAAACAAAAGTGGGCCCCACCAAATTACAATTTTGCATCATCTTCTTCCTCCAACATCTTCTTTCTCGAAACTTCCTTCATTCACACAATCAATTCAATCAAATAATCAATTCAATATCCTTCATTCACACAATC